TGGCAGCACCCACTCACATACCTGCCAACACAAACACATACACCTGGCAGCACACACTCACATACATGCCAACACAAACACATACACCTGGCAGCACACACTCACATACCTGCCAACACAAACACATACACCTGGCAGCACACACTCACATACCTGCCAACACAAACACATACACCTGGCAGCATACACTCTCATACCTGCCAACACAAACACATACACCTGGCAGCACACACTCTCATACCTTCCAACACAAACGCATTCACCTGGCAGCACACACTCACATACCTGCCAACACAAACACATACATCTGGCAGCACACACTCACATACCTGCCAACACAAACACATACACCTGGCAGCCACAACACTCTCATACCTGCCAACACAAACACATACACCTGGCAGCATCCACTCACATACCTGCCAACACAAAACACATACACCTGGCAGCACACACTCACATACATGCCAACACAAACACATACACCTGGCAGCACACACTCACATACCTGCCAACACAAACACATACACCTGGCAGCACACACTCACATACCTGCCAACACAAACACATACATCTGGCAGCACACACTCACATACCTGCCAACACAAACACATACACCTGGCAGCACACACTCACATAACCTGCCAACACAAACACATACACCTGGCAGCACACACTCTCATACCTGCCAACACAAACACATACACCTGGCAGCACACACTCACAATACCTGCCAACACAAACACATATACCTGGCAGCACACACTCACATACCTGCCAACACAAACACATTCACCCCGCAGCACACACTCAACATACCTGCCAACACAAAACCATACACCTGGCAGCACACACTCACATACCTGCCAACACAAACACATACACCTTGCAGCACACACTCACATACCTGCCAACACAAACACATACACCTGGCAGCACACCACTCATACCTGCCAACACAAACACATACACCTGGCAGCACCCACTCACATACCTGCCAACACAAACACATACACCTGGCAGCACACACTCACATACATGCCAAACACAAACACATACACCTGGCAGCACACACTCACATACCTGCCAACACAAACACATACACCTGGCAGCTCACACTCTCATACCTGCCAACACAAACACATACACCTGGGCAGCACACACTCTGATACTGCCAACACAAACACATTCACCTGGCAGCACACACTCGCATACCTGCCAACACAAACACATACACCCTGGCAGCATACACTCTCATACCTGCCAACACAAACACATACACCTGCAGCACACACTCACATACCTACCAACACAAACACATACACCTGGCAGCACACACTCTCATACCTGCCAACACAAACACATACACCTGGCAGCACACACTCACATACCTGCCAACACAAACACATATACCTGGCAGCACACACTCACATACCTGCCAACACAAACACATTCACCCCGCAGCACACACTCACATACCTGCCAACACAAACACATACACCTGGCAGCACACACTCACATACCTGCCAACAACAAACACATACACCTTGCAGCACACACTCACATACCTGCCAACTCACAACACATACACCTGGCAGCACACACTCTCATACCTTCCAACACAAACACATGCACTTGGCAGCACACACTCACATACCTGCCAACACAACCACATACACCTGGCAGCACACACTCACATACCTGCCAACACAAACACATACACCTGGCAGCACACACTCACATACCTGCCAACACAAACACATGCACCTGGCAGCACACACTCTCATACCTGCCAACACAAATACATACACCTGGCAGCACACACTCACATACCTGCCAACACAAACACATACACCTGGCAGCATACACTCTCATACCTGCCACACAAACACATACACCTGGCAGCACACACTCTCATACCTTCCAACACAAACACATGCACTTGGCAGCACACACTCACATACCTGCCAACACAACCACATACACCTGGCGGCACACAGTCACATACCTGCCAACACAAACACATGCACCTGGCAGCACACACTCTCATACCTGCCAACACAAACACATTCACCTGGCAGCACACACTCACATACCTGCCAACACAAACACATACACCTGGCAGCATACACTCTCATACCTGCCAACACAAACACATACACCTGGCAGCACACACTCACATACCTGCCCACACAAACACATACACCTGGCAGCACACACTCTCATACCTTCCAACACAAACACATGCACCTGGCAGCACACACTCACATACCTACCAACACAAACACATACATCTGGCAGCACACACTCACATACCTGCCAACACAAACACATACACCTGGCAGCACACACTCTCATACCTGCCAACACAAACACATACACCTGGCAGCACCCACTCACATACCTGCCAACACAAACACATACACCTGGCAGCACACACTCACATACATGCCAACACAAACACATACACCTGGCAGCACACACTCACATACCTGCCAACACAAACACATACACCTGGCAGCACACACTCACATACCTGCCAACACAAACACATACATCTGGCAGCACACACACTCACAATACCTGCCAACACAAACAACATACACCGGGCAGCACACACACTCATACCTGCCAACACAAAACACATACACCTGGCAGCACCCACTCACATACCTGCCAACACAAACACATACACCTGGCAGCACACACTCACATACATGCCAACACAAACACATACACCTGGCAGCACACACTCACATACCTGCCAACACAAACACATACACCTGGCAGCTCACACTCTCATACCTGCCAACACCAAACACATACACCTGGCAGCACACACTCTCATACCTGCCAACACAAACACATTCAGCCTGGCAGCACACACTCACATACCTGCCAACACAAACACATACATCTGGCAGCACACACTCACATACCTGCCAACACAAACACATACACCTGGCAGCACACACACTCATACCTGCCAACAACAAACACATACACCTGGCAGCACCCACTCACATACCTGCCAACACAAACACATACACCTGGCAGCACACACTCACATACATGCCAACACAAACACATACACCTGGCAGCACACACTCACATACCTGCCAACACAAACACATACACCTGCAGCTCACACTCTCATACCTGACAACACAACACATACACCTGGCAGCACACACTCTCATACCTGCCAACACAAACACATTCACCTGGCAGCACACACTCGCATACCTGCCAACACAAACACATACACCTGGCAGCATACACTCTCATACCTGCCAACACAAACACATACACCTGGCAGCACACACTCACATACCTACCAACACAAACACATACACCTGGCAGCACACACTCTCATACCTGCCAACACAAACACATATACCTGGCAGCACACACTCTCATACCTGCCAACACAAAACACATACACCTGGCAGCACACACTCTCATACCTGCCAACACAAACACATTCACCTGGCAGCACACACTCACATACCTGCCAACACAAACACATACACCTGGCAGCACACACTCTCATACCTGCCAACACAAACACATACCTGGCAGCACACCCATACATCTGCATAGGACCTCAGAAGGGAACTCACTTGCATCCAAATCTTCCAGGAACTTGGTAACGGTTGTGGTGCCCTCCTTTTCGCCCCCAAGCTTCGGCCTTGGCACGAACAGACTGTAATTTGTCGTACATCCAGTCACGGCCCTTTGTGAGCGCATCATTCCGAAAACTTTTGAAAGCCTGTCTCGTAGGTAGCGTCTCCGGTCCGTGTCACAGCGAAGAACCATTTTATGACATACTGCTCCTCCATTGCAGTGAGGCCCAGCACCAAGAGCAACACCTGATTGATTCCGGCCAGGTTTGGGCCACATCGTGAAGTCGTTGAGAGGGGTGCGGAAGAAAAGGATGTTCAGGGCCTCGTCCACCATCTCCTGGAGGACAATGGTGTTGGGCGGGATGAGAAAGGGGGGGTGGGGGGTGGGGCGTGAGGTGTTAGGGAAGTGAGGGGGAAGTGAGGTAGTCTACAAAGTTGTTGCCAACATGTGATCCACCTCTCTAAGGACTACAAAAATCACATCTGATGTGGGAGAGATGAGTGTGTGAGGCTGGGTGGGACAGGAACTGAACTCGGGAATGAGCAAATGGCAGGGGAGAGAGGCGACAAATGAAGGCAGGGGGGTGGGGAAGAGGTGGGGGAGAGGGGCTGGTGTTTGGGTTTACCTTCCACCTCCGCCCTCTTCCGGGACGCTATCCAAAGCAAAGATAACTTGGACTGCCTTCTCCGTTGCCATTTGGTCATCCCTGAGCAGTCAATCTGCTGCTTGCGCATGTGAGCCTTCGCTACAGCGTGACAAAAAGCCGCTTCGGTGCGCGGCCACATTGGAGGAAGATGTGTTATGGGGAGAGATGGGGTGGATTGTTCTGGGACCAGCAGTTGGTTGCTTGATGCAGGACCAGCAATTGGTCGAAGGGCCTGTGAGCGGGTGTTACTAGTGGTGGATGGATTGGTTGGTGGATTATACTGGCCACCGTCTCCCGTCCCCCCATTGGTCGGAGGGATGTGTTGTGGATGTCCGTCGCTGCACTTCGTTTTGTAGTTCCATTATGAGCCGCGCCTGCTCGCGGCACTGAGCCTGCGCAGCCTCAAGTTCAGCTCGCGTGCCCCTGCTTGCAGCACGCCGTGGAGGCGAAGCCGTGTTGGTTCCCAAATTAGCTGCGTCTTCATCTTCCTCAGAATCTTCATCTTCGCTAGCATCAGCCGATGACGACACGGCTTGAGCGCCTGCAGCCATGCGAGCATAGTTTCGCGGCGTACGGACTCGAATGTCCCCACCGCCGTCCCGACTGTTGCTAAACTTCGGGCATGGCAGGTGGGGCAGGGGAGGCCAGGGCAGCAGGGCGTGCGGCGGAGTTGAGGGGATGGCCAACTAGGCCTGGCAAAGTGGCCTGAGAGGAGTGAGTGACCTGTTCAGGTCGGGAGGAAGAAGTGCAGGAAGGCTGAACTGGCTCGAGTGCGGATCTGAGGCATGCGGGGTTTAACTGAGTGGCGGCGTTGAGATGATGACTTGCCGCATTGCCATAGGCGGAGGAGGGAGAGAGGGGTGGCGGCTGCAGCTGAAAGGGAGGCGTAGGCGGAGGGGAGGCCGGCGTTTAACTGAGTGGCGGCGGTGAGATGCTCACTCGCCGCATTGCCATAGGCGGAGGAGGGGGAGGGAGTGGCGGCTGCAGCTGAAAGAGAGGCGTAGGCGGAGGGGAGGCCGGCGTTTAACTGGGTGGCGGCAGTGAGATGCTGACTCGCCGCATTGCCATAGGCGGGATGAGGGAGAGAGGGTGGCGGCTGCAGCTGAGAGGGAGGCGGAGGCGGAGGGGAGGCCGGCATTGACCTGAGTGGCGGCGGTGAGATGCTCACTCGCATTGCCATAGGCGGAGGAGGGAGAGAGGGTGGCGGCTGCAGCTGAAAGGGAGGCGTAGGCGGAGGGGAGGCCGGCGTTTAAACTGAGTGGCGGCGGTGAGATGCTCACTCGCCGCATTGCCATAGGCGGAGGAGGGGGAGGGAAGTGGCGGCTGCAGCTGAAAGAGAGGCGTAGGCGGAGGGGAGGCCGGCGTTTAACTGGGTGGCGGCAGTGAGATGCTGACTCGCCGCATTGCCATAGGCGGATGAGGAGAGAGGGTGGCGGCTGCAGCTGAGAGGGAGGCGGAGGCGGAGGGGAGGCCGGCATTGACCTGAGTGGCGGCGGTGAGATGCTCACTCGCATTGCCATAGGCGGAGGAGGGAGAGAGGGTGGCGGCTGCAGCTGAAAGGGAGGTGTAGGCGGAGGGGAGGCCGGTGTTTAACTGTGTGGCGGCGGTGAGATGCTGACTTGCCGCATTGCCATAGGCGGAGGAGGGGAGGGAGTGGCGGCTGCAGCTGAAAGAGAGGCGTAGGCGGAGGGGGGCCGGCGTTTAACTGGGTGGCTGGCAGTGAGATGCTGACTCGCCGCATTGCCATAGGCGGATGAGGGAGAGAGGGTGCGGCTGCAGCTGAAAGGGAGGTGTAGGCGGAGGGGAGGCCGGTGTTTAACTGAGTGGCGGCGTTGAGATGATGACTTGCCGCATTGCCATAGGCGGAGGAGGGAGAGAGGGTGGCGGCTGCAGCTGAAAGGGATGCGTAGGCGGAGGGAGGGCCGGCGTTTAACTGAGTGGCGGCGGTGAGATGCTCACTCGCCGCATTGCCATAGGCGGAGGAGGGGGAGGGAGTGGCGGCTGCAGCTGAAAGAGAGGCGTAGGCGGAGGGGAGGCCGGCGTTTAACTGGGTGGCGGCAGTGAGATGCTGACTCGCGCATTGCCATAGGCGGATGAGGGAGAGAGGGTGGCGGCTGCAGCTGAGAGGGAGGCGGAGGCGGAGGGCGAGGCCGGCATTGACCTGAGTGGCGGCGGTGAGATGCTCACTCGCATTGCCATAGGCGGAGGAGGGAGAGAGGGTGGGCGGCTGCAGCTGAAAGGGAGGCGTAGGCGGAGGGGAGGCCGGCGTTTAACTGAGTGGCGGCGGTGAGATGCTCACTCGCCGCATTGCCATAGGCGGAGGAGGGGGAGGGAGTGGCGGCTGCAGCTGAAAGAGAGGCGTAGGCGGAGGGGAGGCCGGCGTTTAAACTGGGTTGGCGGCAGTGAGATGCTGACTCGCCGCATTGCCATAGGCGGATGAGGGAGAGAGGGTGGCGGCTGCAGCTGAGAGGGAGGCGGAGGCGGAGGGGAGGCCGGCATTGACCTGAGTGGCGGCGGTGAGATGCTCACTCGCATTGCCATAGGCGGAGGAGGGAGAGAGGGTGGCGGCTGCAGCTGAAAGGGAGGTGTAGGCGGAGGGGAGGCCGGTGTTTAACTGTGTGGCGGCGGTGAGATGCTGACTTGCCGCATTGCCATAGGCGGAGGAAGGGGGAGGGAGTGGCGGCTGCAGCTGAAAGAGAGGCGTAGGCGGAGGGGGGGCCGGCGTTTAACTGGGTGGCGGCAGTGAGATGCTGACTCGCCGCATTGCCATAGGCGGATGAGGGAGAGAGGGTGGCGGCTGCAGCTGAAAGGGAGGTGTAGGCGGAGGGGAGGCCGGTGTTTAACTGTGTGGCGGCGGTGAGATGCTGACTTGCCGCATTGCCATAGGCGGAGGAGGGGGAGGGAGTGGCGGCTGCAGCTGAAAGAGAGGCGTAGGCGGAGGGGGGGCCGGCGTTAACTGGGTGGCGGCAGTGAGATGCTGACTCGCCGCATTGCCATAGGCGGATGAGGGAGAGAGGGTGGCGGCTGCAGCTGAAAGGGAGGTGTAGGCGGAGGGGAGGCCGGTGTTTAACTGAGTGGCGGCGTTGAGATGATGACTTGCCGCATTGCCATAGGCGGAGGAGGGAGAGAGGGTGGCGGCTGCAGCTGAAAGGGAGGCGTAGGCGGAGGGGAGGCCGGCGTTTAACTGAGTGGCGGCGGTGAGATGCTCACTCGCCGCATTGCCATAGGCGGAGGAGGGGGAGGGAGTGGCGGCTGCAGCTGAAAGAGAGGCGTAGGCGGAGGGGAGGCCGGCGTTTAACTGGGTGGCGGCAGTGAGATGCTGACTCGCCGCATTGCCATAGGCGGATGAGGGAGAGAGGGTGGCGGCTGCAGCTGAGAGGGAGGCGGAGGCGGAGGGGAGGCCGGCATTGACCTGAGTGGCGGCGGTGAGATGCTCACTCGCATTGCCATAGGCGGAGGAGGGAGAGAGGGTGGCGGCTGCAGCTGAAAGGGAGGCGTAGGCGGAGGGGAGGCCGGCGTTTAACTGAGTGGCGGCGGTGAGATGCTCACTCGCCGCATTGCCATAGGCGGAGGAGGGGGAGGGAGTGGCGGCTGCAGCTGAAAGAGAGGCGTAGGCGGAGGGGAGGCCGGCGTTTAACTGGGTGGCGGCAGTGAGATGCTGACTCGCCGCATTGCCATAGGCGGATGAGGGAGAGAGGGTGGCGGCTGCAGCTGAGAGGGAGGCGGAGGCGGAGGGGAGGCCGGCATTGACCTGAGTGGCGGCGGTGAGATGCTCACTCGCATTGCCATAGGCGGAGGAGGGAGAGAGGGTGGCGGCTGCAGCTGAAAGGGAGGTGTAGGCGGAGGGGAGGCCGGTGTTTAACTGTGTGGCGGCGGTGAGATGCTGACTTGCCGCATTGCCATAGGCGGAGGAGGGGGAGGGAGTGGCGGCTGCAGCTGAAAGAGAGGCGTAGGCGGAGGGGGGGCCGGCGTTTAACTGGGTGGCGGCAGTGAGATGCTGACTCGCCGCATTGCCATAGGCGGATGAGGGAGAGAGGGTGGCGGCTGCAGCTGAAAGGGAGGTGTAGGCGGAGGGGAGGCCGGTGTTTAACTGTGTGGCGGCGGTGAGATGCTGACTTGCCGCATTGCCATAGGCGGAGGAGGGGGAGGGAGTGGCGGCTGCAGCTGAAAGAGAGGCGTAGGCGGAGGGGAGGCCGGCGTTTAACTGAGTGGCGGCGGTGAGATGCTCACTCGCCGCATTGCCATAGGCGGAGGAGGGGGAGGGAGTGGCGGCTGCAGCTGAAAGAGAGGCGTAGGCGGAGGGGAGGCCGGCGTTTAACTGGGTGGCGGCAGTGAGATGCTGACTCGCCGCATTGCCATAGGCGGATGAGGGAGAGAGGGTGGCGGCTGCAGCTGAGAGGGAGGCGGAGGCGGAGGGGAGGCCGGCATTGACCTGAGTGGCGGCGGTGAGATGCTCACTCGCATTGCCATAGGCGGAGGAGGGAGAGAGGGTGGCGGCTGCAGCTGAAAGGGAGGTGTAGGCGGAGGGGAGGCCGGTGTTTAACTGTGTGGCGGCGGTGAGATGCTGACTTGCCGCATTGCCATAGGCGGAGGAGGGGGAGGGAGTGGCGGCTGCAGCTGAAAGAGAGGCGTAGGCGGAGGGGGGGGCCGGCGTTTAACTGGGTGGCGGCAGTGAGATGCTGACTCGCCGCATTGCCATAGGCGGATGAGGGAGAGAGGGTGGCGGCTGCAGCTGAAAGGGAGGTGTAGGCGGAGGGGAGGCCGGTGTTTAACTGTGTGGCGGCGGTGAGATGCTGACTTGCCGCATTGCCATAGGCGGAGGAGGGGGAGGGAGTGGCGGCTGCAGCTGAAAAGAGAGGCGTAGGCGGAGGGGAGGCCGGCGTTTAACTGAGTGGCGGCGGTGAGATGCTCACTCGCCGCATTGCCATAGGCGGAGGAGGGGGAGGGAGTGGCGGCTGCAGCTGAAAGAGAGGCGTAGGCGGAGGGGAGGCCGGCGTTTAACTGGGTGGCGGCAGTGAGATGCTGACTCGCCGCATTGCCATAGGCGGATGAGGGAGAGAGGGTGGCGGCTGCAGCTGAGAGGGAGGCGGAGGCGGAGGGGAGGCCGGCATTGACCTGAGTGGCGGCGGTGAGATGCTCACTCGCATTGCCATAGGCGGAGGAGGGAGAGAGGGTGGCGGCTGCAGCTGAAAGGGAGGTGTAGGCGGAGGGGAGGCCGGTGTTTAACTGTGTGGCGGCGGTGAGATGCTGACTTGCCGCATTGCCATAGGCGGAGGAGGGGGAGGGAGTGGCGGCTGCAGCTGAAAGAGAGGCGTAGGCGGAGGGGGGGCCGGCATTTAACTGGGTGGCGGCAGTGAGATGCTGACTCGCCGCATTGCCATAGGCGGATGAGGGAGAGAGGGTGGCGGCTGCAGCTGAGAGGGAGGCGGAGGCGGAGGGGAGGCCGGCATTGACCTGAGTGGCGGCGGTGAGATGCTCACTCGCATTGCCATAGGCGGAGGAGGGAGAGAGGGTGGCGGCTGCAGCTGAAAGGGAGGTGTAGGCGGAGGGGAGGCCGGTGTTTAACTGTGTGGCGGCGGTGAGATGCTGACTTGCCGCATTGCCATAGGCGGAGGAGGGGGAGGGAGTGGCGGCTGCAGCTGAAAGAGAGGCGTAGGCGGAGGGGAGGCCGGCGTTTAACTGAGTGGCGGCGGTGAGATGCTCACTCGCCGCATTGCCATAGGCGGAGGAGGGGGAGGGAGTGGCGGCTGCAGCTGAAAGAGAGGCGTAGGCGGAGGGGAGGCCGGCGTTTAACTGGGTGGCGGCAGTGAGATGCTGACTCGCCGCATTGCCATAGGCGGATGAGGGAGAGAGGGTGGCGGCTGCAGCTGAGAGGGAGGCGGAGGCGGAGGGGAGGCCGGCATTGACCTGAGTGGCGGCGGTGAGATGCTCACTCGCATTGCCATAGGCGGAGGAGGGAGAGAGGGTGGCGGCTGCAGCTGAAAGGGAGGTGTAGGCGGAGGGGAGGCCGGTGTTTAACTGTGTGGCGGCGGTGAGATGCTGACTTGCCGCATTGCCATAGGCGGAGGAGGGGGAGGGAGTGGCGGCTGCAGCTGAAAGAGAGGCGTAGGCGGAGGGGAGGCCGGCGTTTAACTGGGTGGCGGCAGTGAGATGCTGACTCGCCGCATTGCCATAGGCGGATGAGGGAGAGAGGGTGGCGGCTGCAGCTGAGAGGGAGGCGGAGGCGGAGGGGAGGCCGGCATTGACCTGAGTGGCGGCGGTGAGATGCTCACTCGCATTGCCATAGGCGGAGGAGGGAGAGAGGGTGGCGGCTGCAGCTGAAAGGGAGGCATAGGCGGAGGGGAGGCCGGTGTTTAACTGTGTGGTGGCGGTGAGATGCTCACTCGCCGCATTGCCATAGGCGGAGGAGGGGGAGGGAGTGGTTGCTGCAGCTGAAAGAGAGGCGTAGGCGGAGGGGAGGCCGGCGTTTAACTGAGTGGCAGCAGTGAGATGCTGACTTGCCGCATTGCCATAGGCGGATAAGGGAGAGAGGGTGGCGGCTGCAGCTGAGAGGGAGGCGGAGGCGGAGGGGAGGCCGGCATTGACCTGAGTGGCGGCGGTGAGATGCTCACTCGCATTGCCATAGGCGGAGGAGGGAGAGAGGGTGGCGGCTGCAGCTGAAAGGGAGGCATAGGCAGAGGGGAGGCCGGTGTTTAACTGTGTGGCGGCGGTGAGATGCTCACTCGCCGCATTGCCATAGGCGGAGGAGGGGGAGGGAGTGGCGGCTGCAGCTGAAAGAGAGGCGTAGGCGGAGGGGAGGCCGGCGTTTAACTGAGTGGCAGCAGTCAGATGCTGACTCGCCGCATTGCCATAGGCGGATGAGGGAGAGAGGGTGGCGGCTGCAGCTGAGAGGGAGGCGGAGGCGGAGGGGAGGCCGGCATTGACCTGAGTGGCGGCGGTGAGATGCTCACTCGCATTGCCATAGGCGGAGGAGGGAGAGAGGGTGGCGGCTGCAGCTGAAAGGGAGGCGTAGGCGGAGGGGAGGCCGGTGTTTAACTGTGTGGCGGCGGTGAGATGCTGACTCGCCGCATTGCCATAGGCGGATGGGGAAGAGAGGGTGGCGGCTGCAGCTGAGAGGGAGGCGGAGGCGGAGGGGAGGCCGGCATTGACCTGAGTGGCGGCGGTGAGATGCTCACTCGCATTGCCATAGGCGGAGGAGGGAGAGAGGGTGGCGGCTGCAACTGAAAGGGAGGTGTAGGCGGAGGGGAGGCCGGTGTTTAACTGTGTGGCGGCGGTGAGATGCTGACTTGCCGCATTGCATAGGCGGAGGAGGGGGAGGGAGTGGCGGCTGCAGCTGAAAGAGAGGCGTAGGCGGAGGGGAGGCCGGCGTTTAACTGAGTGGCGGCGGTGAGATGCTCACTCGCCGCATTGCCATAGGCGGAGGAGGGGGAGGGAGTGGCGGCTGCAGCTGAAAGAGAGGCGTAGGCGGAGGGGAGGCCGGCGTTTAACTGGGTGGCGGCAGTGAGATGCTGACTCGCCGCATTGCCATAGGCGGATGAGGGAGAGAGGGTGGCGGCTGCAGCTGAGAGGGAGGCGGAGGCGGAGGGGAGGCCGGCATTGACCTGAGTGGCGGCGGTGAGATGCTCACTCGCATTGCCATAGGCGGAGGAGGGAGAGAGGGTGGCGGCTGCAGCTGAAAGGGAGGTGTAGGCGGAGGGGAGGCCGGTGTTTAACTGTGTGGCGGCGGTGAGATGCTGACTTGCCGCATTGCCATAGGCGGAGGAGGGGGAGGGAGTGGCGGCTGCAGCTGAAAGAGAGGCGTAGGCGGAGGGGGGGCCGGCGTTTAACTGGGTGGCGGCAGTGAGATGCTGACTCGCCGCATTGCCATAGGCGGATGAGGGAGAGAGGGTGGCGGCTGCAGCTGAAAGGGAGGTGTAGGCGGAGGGGAGGCCGGTGTTTAACTGTGTGGCGGCGGTGAGATGCTGACTTGCCGCATTGCCATAGGCGGAGGAGGGGGAGGGAGTGGCGGCTGCAGCTGAAAGAGAGGCGTAGGCGGAGGGGAGGCCGGCGTTTAACTGAGTGGCGGCGGTGAGATGCTCACTCGCCGCAATTGCCATAGGCGGAGGAGGGGAGGGAAGTGGCGGCTGCAGCTGAAAGAGAGGCGTAGGCGGAGGGGAGGCCGGCGTTTAACTGGGTGGCGGCAGTGAGATGCTGACTCGCCGCATTGCCATAGGCGGATGAGGGAGAGAGGGTGGCGGCTGCAGCTGAGAGGGAGGCGGAGGCGGAGGGGAGGCCGGCATTGACCTGAGTGGCGGCGGTGAGATGCTCACTCGCATTGCCATAGGCGGAGGAGGGAGAGAGGGTGGCTGGCTGCAGCTGAAAGGGAGGTGTAGGCGGAGGGGAGGCCGGTGTTTAACTGTGTGGCGGCGGTGAGATGCTGACTTGCCGCATTGCCATAGGCGGAGGAGGGGGAGGGAGTGGCGGCTGCAGCTGAAAGAGAGGCCGTAGGCGGAGGGGGGGCCGGCATTTAACTGGGTGGCGGCAGTGAGATGCTGACTCGCCGCATTGCCATAGGCGGATGAGGGAGAGAGGGTGGCGGCTGCAGCTGAGAGGGAGGCGGAGGCGGAGGGGAGGCCGGCATTGACCTGAGTGGCGGCGGTGAGATGCTCACTCGCATTGCCATAGGCGGAGGAGGGAGAGAGGGTGGCGGCTGCAGCTGAAAGGGAGGTGTAGGCGGAGGGGAGGCCGGTGTTTAACTGTGTGGCGGCGGTGAGATGCTGACTTGCCGCATTGCCATAGGCGGAGGAGGGGGAGGGAGTGGCGGCTGCAGCTGAAAGAGAGGCGTAGGCGGAGGGGAGGCCGGCGTTTAACTGAGTGGCGGCGGTGAGATGCTCACTCGCCGCATTGCCATAGGCGGAGGAGGGGGAGGGGAGTGGCGGCTGCAGCTGAAAGAGAGGCGTAGGCGGAGGGGAGGCCGGCGTTTAACTGGGTGGCGGCAGTGAGATGCTGACTCGCCGCATTGCCATAGGCGGATGAGGGAGAGAGGGTGGTCGCTGCAGCTGAGAGGGAGGCGGAGGCGGAGGGGAGGCCGGCATTGACCTGAGTGGCGGCGGTGAGATGCTCACTCGCATTGCCATAGGGCGGAGGAGGGAGAGAGGGTGGCGGCTGCAGCTGAAAGGGAGGTGTAGGCGGAGGGGAGGCCGGTGTTTAACTGTGTGGCGGCGGTGAGATGCTGACTTGCCGCATTGCCATAGGCGGAGGAGGGGGAGGGAGTGGCGGCTGCAGCTGAAAGAGAGGCGTAGGCGGAGGGGGGGCCGGCGTTTAACTGGGTGGCGGCAGTGAGATGCTGACTCGCCGCATTGCCATAGGCGGATGAGGGAGAGAGGGTGGCGGCTGCAGCTGAGAGGGAGGCGGAGGGCGGAGGGGAGGCCGGCATTGACCTGAGTGGCGGCGGTGAGATGCTCACGTCGCATTGCCATAGGCGGAGGAGGGAGAGAGGGTGGGCGGCTGCAGCTGAAAAGGAGGCATAGGCGGAGGGGAGGCCGGTGTTTAACTGTGTGGTGGCGGTGAGATGCTGACTCGCCGCATTGCCATAGGCGGAGGAGGGGGAGGGAGTGGTTGCTGCAGCTGAAAGAGAGGCGTAGGCGGAGGGGAGGCCGGCGTTTAACTGAGTGGCAGCAGTGAGATGCTGACTTGCCGCATTGCCATAGGCGGATAAGGGAGAGAGGGTGGCGGCTGCAGCTGAGAGGGAGGCGGAGGCGGAGGGGAGGCCGGCATTGACCTGAGTGGCGGCGGTGAGATGCTCACTCGCATTGCCATAGGCGGAGGAGGGAGAGAGGGTGGCGGCTGCAGCTGAAAGGGAGGCATAGGCAGAGGGGAGGCCGGTGTTTAACTGTGTGGCGGCGGTGAGATGCTCACTCGCCGCATTGCCATAGGCGGAGGAGGGGGAGGGAGTGGCGGCTGCAGCTGAAAGAGAGGCGTAGGCGGAGGGGAGGCCGGCGTTTAACTGAGTGGCAGCAGTCAGATGCTGACTCGCCGCATTGCCATAGGCGGATGAGGGAGAGAGGGTGGCGGCTGCAGCTGAGAGGGAGGCGGAGGCGGAGGGGAGGCCGGCATTGACCTGAGTGGCGGCGGTGAGATGCTCACTCGCAATTGCCATAGGCGGAGAGGGGAGAGAGGGTGGCGGCTGCAGCTGAAAGGGAGGCGTAGGCGGAGGGGAGGCCTGTGTTTAACTGTGTGGCGGCGGTGAGATTGCTGACTCGCCGCATTGCCATAGGCGGATGGGGAAGAGAGGGTGGCGGCTGCAGCTGAGAGGGAGGCGGAGGCGGAGGGGAGGCCGGCATTGACTGAGTGGACGGCGGTGAGATGCTCACTCGCATTGCCATAGGCGGAGGAGGGAGAGAGGGTGGCGGCTGCAGCTGAAAGGGAGGTGTAGGCGGAGGGGAGGCCGGTGTTTAACTGATGTGGAGGCGGTGGAGCAATGCTGACATTGCCGCATAGGAGGGGGGAGGGAGTGGCGGCTGCAGCTGAAAGAGGAGGCGTAGGCGGAGGGGAGGCCGGCGTTTAACTGAGTGGCGGCGGTGAGATGCTCACTCGCCGCATTGCCATAGGCGGAGGAGGGGGAGGGAGGTGGCGGCTGCAGCTGAAAGAGAGGCGTAGGCGGAGGGGAGGCCGGCGTTTAAAACTGGGTGGCGGACAGTGAGATGCTGACTCGCCGCATTGCCATAGGCGGATGAGGGAGAGAGGGTGGCGGCTGCAGCTTGAGAGGGAGGCGGAGGGCGGAGGGGAGGCCGGCATTGACCTGAGTGGCGGCGGTGAGATGCTCACTCGCATTTGCCATAGGCGGAGGAGGGAGAGAGGGTGGCGGCTGCAGCTGAAAGGGAGGTGTAGGCGGAGGGGAGGCCGGTGTTTAACTGTGTGGCGGCGGTGAGATGCTGACTTGCCGCATTGCCATAGGCGGAGGAGGGGGAGGGAGTGGCGGCTGCAGCTGAAAGAGAGGCGTAGGCGGAGGGGAGGCCGGCGTTTAACTGGGTGGCGGCAGTGAGATGCTGACTCGCCGCATTGCCATAGGCGGATGAGGGAGAGAGGGTGGCGGCTGCAGCTGAGAGGGAGGCGGAGGCGGAGGGGAGGCCGGCATTGACCTGAGTGGCGGCGGTGAGATGCTCACTCGCATTGCCATAGGCGGAGGAGGGAGAGAGGGTGGCGGCTGCAGCTGAAAGGGAGGCATAGGCGGAGGGGAGGCCGGTGTTTAACTGTGTGGTGGCGGTGAGATGCTGACTCGCCGCATTGCCATAGGCGGAGGAGGGGGAGGGAGTGGTTGCTGCAGCTGAAAGAGAGGCGTAGGCGGAGGGGAGGCCGGCGTTTAACTGAGTGGCAGCAGTGAGATGCTGACTTGCCGCATTGCCATAGGCGGATAAGGGAGAGAGGGTGGCGGCTGCAGCTGAGAGGGAGGCGGAGGCGGAGGGGAGGCCGGCATTGACCTGAGTGGCGGCGGTGAGATGCTCACTCGCATTGCCATAGGCGGAGGAGGGAGAGAGGGTGGCGGCTGCAGCTGAAAGGGAGGCATAGGCAGAGGGGAGGCCGGTGTTTAACTGTGTGGCGGCGGTGAGATGCTCACTCGCCGCATTGCCATAGGCGGAGGAGGGGGAGGGAGTGGCGGCTGCAGCTGAAAGAGAGGCGTAGGCGGAGGGGAGGCCGGCGTTTAACTGAGTGGCAGCAGTCAGATGCTGACTCGCCGCATTGCCATAGGCGGATGAGGGAGAGAGGGTGGCGGCTGCAGCTGAGAGGGAGGCGGAGGCGGAGGGGAGGCCGGCATTGACCTGAGTGGCGGCGGTGAGATGCTCACTCGCATTGCCATAGGCGGAGGAGGGAGAGAGGGTGGCGGCGGCAGCTGAGGCGGAGGCGGAGGGGAGGCCGGCATTTAACTGAGTGGCGGCGGTGAGATGCTCACTCGCCGCATTGCCATAGGTGGAGGAGGGGGAGGGAGTGGCGGCTGCAGCTGAAAGAGAGGCGTAGGCGGAGGGGAGGCCGGCGTTTAACTGAGTGGCGGCGGTGAGATGCTCACTCGCCGCATTGCCATAGGCGGAGGAGGGAGAGAGAGTGGCGGTTGCAGCTGAAAGGGTGGCGTCACGTGCATGTTGCCCAACGTCCCGAAAGTCACTAGCAAGTGGAGCATCGCGGCCTTTCTTGTTCCTGCGCGCTTGCGTGGATCGTTTCCCCTTCCGCACTTCTTTAGGCTTATTCGCACGGGTTCGGCGCTTTGTACCAGCGGTGAATGAGACATTGTTTAACGACGCGAACCTCGTACCTGTGGAATGGGTGGTAACAAATCAATCAGAAAATGCAACGAAAGCCCTTTCGAGAAGATGTGGTTTGTCCTGAATGCGCATGTAAACCGATTGAAAAAACGGGTACGCGGATTGTGACGTACCTTCAGAATACTCGCTGTCTTGGGTCTCGTGATCAGCCAGGCCATTGGGTTGCGCTGCGATGGCTCCCTGAGAGCAGGCAGTACCCACTGCCGGAGTTGAGAAAGTAGCTGCAGCCGCTCTGAGAGGAAGAACCGCGGCAAGAAAAGGACTAGGTGCGGTCTGCATTGCTTAATAATCACTCGGTGTAGACCGTAGCATGCAAATGATTGCTGGACGAAACTAACATGCCGTCAACAATAATAAAGTTCCAGATGAACAGCAGGCGGAATCAGTGTAGTGACGAACGTAAGCTACGAGACTGGAAGCGGCTTGGGAAGGCTATAAGTTTTAAAGCGTGCTGTGAAAACTAGGAATGGCGAATGAACCGGAGACGGGATGTAGGTCGTTGATGGGTGTGAGGATGTGATGGGAGAACAACGTGGGAGCTCTTTGTCGTGACAGTTGCGCTGCACCGTCCAGGCTGCAAAGTTATCCGACGGTCGACTTGTGGGGTGTTTTGACAGCACGGCACAGAGTGAACGATCTGCACTTGAATCATGCCACAACGCGAGATCAACTTCCTGTTAGGGCGCGTCCTTTTCGCTTGTTTCGATGCGGCTCAATTCGATGCGTCAAGTTTTGCAACGGTCAAAAATTACTTTAGTCTGGTCGAGATGGGTATGAGTTTGAATGACACGAGAATGACGCGCCCTCACAACACTCATCGGGGCACAAATTTTGCAGTTTGAGAGTTGTTAATGAGTTTTAATTTATATGTAATTTATCTTATGCCAGGAAAAAATGAATTATCTCACACTGTTTTTGGCTTTCCAGCACCACTAATTCGGCTCAAGAGTCAATGATGCTGGGAGAAGTAAGGGGTTCCATCTGTTCAAAGGGTAATAAAAAACGATATAACCGCTTCACGTGACATATTATACTATAGCATAACGATGCTGGCATTGCATATAGGTGCTGCGCGGCACAGGTGAGGGATCGAAGTGGGGAGGCCAGGGGCGGCGAGTGGAGAGTGTGCAGTGATGGCATAATAGAGCATTGCCGTAACAGATGACAAGGAGGCGGAGGTGCGGCCAGGGCTTGATTGAGTACCAGCGGCTAGATGATGCGTGACAATGTTGTGTGAGGCGGAGTGCGCAGCTTGTCCAATAGCATGAGATTCGTACTCTACTCCAATGCTCTTGGTCTCCCGTCTTCTACTGGCCTTCCTCCTAGCTTACTGAGTCCACCGCCTCACCAGTTCCCAAAACAGTTACAGCCAGACTCCCCACTGCCTGCTCCTTCTCCTTACGCTGAGCAGACAGACTCATGTACAGAGCGTCGTGAGCATGAGTCTCGTCCTGCCTCGCCTGTTCGCGCTGTTCGCACTGGTCGTCGGGTTCCTCGTCCGCGTCCTCCTCCTGTCCCCGGCACTCACGTTATGGCACTTCGGTTGAATGATATACAGTCATGTCACTTTGTTTGTTTACAAAGCTTGAGTTTATTTTGACCAATTGTTGACGGAAAATGGCCCCGCCCTCGCGTGTGTGGAGATACACTCTACAACGGTGGTGAGCTAGACTACGGGGGTTAGCACGAACTACTAGGAGTGATCGTGGCTTTGCCTAGTTCCTTAGTGCTTGCGCAATCATGGGAGAAATCGGCAAGGGTTTCACTAACCAGATTGGAAATACAGAATTGTTGAACAAGCAATGACAACAATGACTACATTAGGCACCTAGCAACTCTGCAGCTAGCCTGGTCGACTGACAGCACTGCATGGTCGACCGCCTGCCAGCGTTGCGTAGAAGTGCCGTGCCAGCACTGCAGAAAGGCGACCTGCCAACACAGCAGGTCGACGGTGTGCCAACGCTGCAGCAGAACGACTGTCCAGCGTTGCCCCTCAGAAGACAGCAGTGCGCACGTTCGCAGATGCGCGCAGACGATTGGCCCGACTTGCACTGTTGTGCATCTGTCGGCTGTTGTCTGCGCCTGACGAGCCACATCGACTTCGGGATACCAACCCGAAGTTGCCTTCGCCATCGCGACCTCGACGACGTTTGCGTGCCTCCGCAGAACTCGCCGAGCAGGTTACCCAGTCGACCTGGACAACCCCAAGTGCCTCTGGTCGACCACCGGGTCCCTCTGGTCGATCATCGATCGACCAGAACTGACAGCTGTTGTCGACAAGCTCCCCTTGTCGACCGCTGCTCACTTCTCAGGTCAACCTCCCGGTCGAACAGCCCCTCCTGGTCGACGGCCCACCCGTCGCCCAGACCAGTCAGTTGCAGCCGTCGAGCTCCCTTGTCGACAGCAGCACCACAGTGGTCCCCTGCAGCTCGACAAATCCTGTCGAGCAGCTCTTCCACTGTGAACAGTCGGCTGCTACTCCCGTACATCCGACCAAGTCGTCGGCGTTGCCCAAGCGAGGGCGGGGCCAACACTCCATTCCCGTTAACAGCATGCAGAAGTTCCCGTCGAGTGCGCACAGAGTTCGACCTAGAACTGTCCGCGGAGTTCGACCGAGTGTGTTGGTGCAGAAGTCGACGACGACGTGTCCGCATAAGTCTTCATCAGAGGACGTTGGTCAACCCGCTCGCAGAGGACACTCGTCGACGAGTTCGCAGAGGACGTTGGTACGCCAAGACCTGTCGAGGAGCATTGGTCGACGGGCTCCCCTCGACGAGCATTACTTAATTGCACGGTCGACGTCGTCTTCTACGTGCCGGCGACGTCGTCTTCTGCGGACAGGTCGACGTCGACTTCGGCGCGCATTCTCCGTCTACTTCTGCGCGCATTCGAGTGCAAAGTCTGCTTCGCCCAATCGATGGCGGGGTCATTTCTCGTCAACATGGTTTTTGGTGGTTGCTGGTCGAACTCTCCACGTATCCGCCTGTGCGCTTTGCATGTGACAAGACACAGTCTGCCAATCATCTGCGAGCACATGCGACGTGGTTGCGATGCTGTCCTGCGGGTGCAACGCACTGAGCCGCCTTGCTGCAGCATTGGCACGCCGTCGACTTGCAGTGTTGGCAGACCGCGGCTTGGAATGAAATAGGTGTCAAACTTATATGCTATAGTCTTTCTAGGCTGTAGTGGGGTAGACAGTATGGGGTACAGCTTTCTAGGGTTTCATATTTGTACCCAACTCATTTCCTAGTTCATCATTCATTCCTCATTTCTTCACATGGTATAGAGCAGGTTCCCTAGTGGGAACTGTTCCTAGGGCCCACCACTGAAAATCGATTAAACTTTTTTTTCTGCCCGGAGAGCGAGTCGCTCCTGACCGAGGCGCGCCCTGTGTGCCGTCCTCCCCTTCGCGCCCTCTCACGGCCCCTCTCGCGGCCCCGTCGCCGCCCTTAGCGGCCCCTCGTGGCCCCACCCTACATGGCCCCGTCGCCGCCCTCTGGTGGCCCCGTCGCCGCCCTCTAGCGGCCCCGTCGCCGCCCTCAGCGGCCCCGTCGCCGCCCTCTAGCGGCCCCGTCGCTGCCCTCAGCGGCCCCGTCGCCGCCCCCAGCGGCCCCGTCGTCGCCCTCTAGCGGCCCCTTCGCAGCCCTTCCGGCCCCGTCGCCGCCCTCAGCGGCCCCGTCGCCGCCCTTGCGGCCCCGCCGCCACTCTTACGGCCCCGTCGCCGCACTCTCGCGGCCCCGGCGCCGCCCTCTAGCGGCCCCGTCGCCGCCCTCAGCGGCCCCGTCGCCGCCCTTGCGGCCCCGCCGCCGCTCTTGCGGCCCCGTCGCCGCCCTCTCGCGGCCCCGTCGCCGCCCTCTAGCGGCCCCGTCGCCGCTCTCAACGGCCCCGTCGCCGCCCTCAGTGGCCCCTTCGCAGCCCGCAGCGGCACCGTCGCCGCCCTCAGCGGCCTCATCGCCGCCCTCGCGGCCCCGTCGCCGCCCTCTCGCGGCCCCGTCGCCGCCCTCTCGCGGCCCTCCTGCCGCCCTCCTGCGGCCGCTGCTGAGCCGCCTACTCGCCGAGCCGCCGCCGCCGCTGTCGAGCCGCCGCCGCCGTCGAGCCGCCGCCGCCGTCGAGCCGCCGCTATTGAGACGCCGCCGTCGAGCCGCCGCTGTCGAGCCGCCACCCGCCGCCGAGCCGCCTTCGTGCCGCCGCCGCCGCCGTCGAGCCGCCGCTGCCGCCGAGCCGCTGGTGCCGCTGTCGAGCCGCTGACGCCGCAGTTCCGGCCCTGTTCCTGCCGGCGCGACCCGGCCGTACCCACCCGGACTAGTGAGAGCACTCCCGAGCAGCGCCTTTGCCACTGCGCTGCCCCTAGCCTACTGCTCTCACTGCTAGACTGCTGCTGTCATGGCTACCCCCAGTGTCCTTACCTTTGATGCTGAGGGCTGGGCTGTTGACTTTGAGGTCTGGGTCGATGACCTGCAGCTTTTCCTACAGTGCGATAGGACAGACGGACTCTCCCTGTTCGATCTCACCTCTGGTGCCTCTGCTGCCCCTGCTGCCGATGCTGACAGCACTGTTCGCTCACAGTGGGCCACACGCGATGCTGCTGCCCGTCTTGCTGTGCGTCGCCACTTACCGACCACTGAGCGTGCGCATTTTAGTCAGTACAAGAGTGCTAAGACCTTGTACGACGCTGTAGTTGCACGCTACTCTTCCCCTGCCACTGCTGCCCTTAGCCGCCTCATGCTGCCGTACCTGTTCCCTGACCTCGCCGCCTTTCCCACAGTCGCTGACCTCATTATGCACCTTCGCACTAGTGACACCCACTACCGCGCTGCGCTTCCTGCTGAGTTCTGCGCCAAGAACCCCCCCCCCATGTACATCACCCTCTACTACATAGTCACCCGGCTCCCTGACTCCCTTCGCTCGGTCAGGGACCACTTCCTCTCTGTTTGCCCCACCATACTCACCGTTGACCTCCTCGAGGAGCGCCTCCTAGCAGCAGAGAAGAGTATAGTCGCTGTAGGAGCCTCTCGTGGTGACCCTCGTACCCCCTTCTTTGAGGGGTGCTCCCCCTCCCCCCTCTTGCCCTCTGTTGCCTCTGCTGCTGCGGCCGACCTCGTCGGCCTCGAGTCAGTTGGAGCTGCGTCTGCCCCTAGCGGGAGACGCCGCACCGGCAAGGGCAAGGGGGGCAAGGGTGCTGGAGGAGCTGGCGGGGGCGGTGGAGGTGGCGGTGGAGGCGGTGGAGGGGGTGGGGGTGGTGGTGGGAGTGGTGGCAGGGGTGGAGTCGTCGGTGGCAG